TAGACCAATTTGTCGAAACTATTAATTGCTACCATGTCAGTCATGTAAGTTTTTCAGCAAACTTTATAACAGCAAACAAGATTGCTCATATTTTATTATGAAACGTGATGATCGTGTTCCACAATTGGGTTGATGATGTTGTTTTGTATTCCCAAATAAAGAAGGCTGCACATGCCTTATACATTACGTACGATCATGCACGCGTACAGTCTATCATGGTAACAGAATCTGATCAATTGCTCTATTTTATGGGCATATTGATCTGTCTTGCGGATCAGCTTATAGGTATTTACATACATACGTCACTGAACTAGCTGTGTTCGTGTATTTATCGCCGGCTGGCAGCTGCACGTGTCATATATAATGACCGCGTGCGGATTAAGCAAGAACATGAGCAGTGATAAGCTCTTATCTTATTTTCTTAGGTATACTCTTTTGACAAATTATGTTGCAATGAATTGACCGACGCTACATGTATTTGGAATGTTCATCTGTGGGATTTATCATCGTTGTTTTTCCCTGTTTTATTGATTTAACAGAGAAAACATTTGTTACATTTTTATCAATTTACATATTACACGTAGCATGCTTTGCTTTTGTTAAACATAAACAAAAGCATCTACACATATACATACATGCATACATTCTTTTCTAATTATATACAAAAAATAAATTTTACCATGCCATACATACACATGAATTCCTAAATTGACATTTTAAACATTCGACATTTACTTAGCTAAACACCGACCCGACGACCGAAAGAATATTTACGAAGTTATAAACTTCCACAACCGCTCAATGCATCGCTTGTTTGTAGCTGGCTATTCACGCCCCGAGACGCTTTCCATGTCGTAGAGATCAAACCCCCAAACATATCGTAATGCTAATTTCAATAGCTCCATTAACCCGACGTGAAATTTCTAACAGTTTGCTGAAATTTCTCTCTGGGTTTTTTTTCTGGGTCGTTAGGCGACAATTAAGCTGCTAATATGCTAATGGCGGCGTCTATATAGAGATGAAACCATGTATGAACACTCGGGAGCGTGCAATGCCACGCGATTAACATTTTGCTGTAGGACTTTATTCCGGTTAATGTGTTCCTGCCACAATTATTATGTTTGAGCTTTCTTTGTCATTATAATTATTGTGCACTATCCGCTTACGGCCTGCTAACAAAATAGACATCATAGTCGCATTAAAAATCGGGGTTTAATCTAAAGATCTACCTCTATCACAGGTAGACTTAGAGGTAGAGGTAGATCTAGAAATCTACGTATAGGTATAGGTATAGGTATAGGTATAGGTATAGGTATAGGTATAGGTATAGGTATAGTCTTCTTTCTTTCTTTCTGTTTGTCTGTCTGTTTCATCAATATTTTTCCCGTACAATATCAAAGTGCATATCTTTTTACTCGACAACTAGTGGTTACCTGCTGACTCAGAGCGTATAACAGAATACGTTTTTCACAGACTTGTGCGTTTTACTTGTGCGTTTTATGCTGACGACAGCATAAAATATTGTTCCTGACACGCTTGTTAGCAAATATAGTTTTCTATCCAATGTCCTCTACCAGTAAAATCTTTTCCCGTGCTGACACGCAACCGATCGTTGCCTGACAGTATCGATGACCATATATGAAGATCGAGCATCCCAGTGTATACCAGCATTCGCCATTATGTAAACACTACACAGGGCGTGCATATCCAAATACCGGATGCACGAAATGGTATTAACATGGCATTAATTAAATGATTCATTTTATTTCTCGTTCATCTATTCGGTAAAAACCTTGCACATTTTATTTCGGACAACGAATTCATGTGTGGTCGTGTTTTAAATCCACTGAGCACCGCTCAACGAATCTATGAATTCTCTTATAGCATTGATCATGAGTGATTTATTGCATGCTAACTACATTCTTGAGGCTCGCTTAGTTTAACAATCATTGGCCACAGACAGCGTGCTTCTAGAATAACAACCGACAGATTTTTACGAACTCGATATCAAATAACAGCGAACAAATGACAAACAAGTAGACAAAACAAGGAGGAAAATCAACGCGCGGATTTGATTCTAGCCAATAACTGATAGATTCTGGCGCAGCTGTGCAAGTTGAGCAAGGATTTGCGTAGTCAGCAGATTCAGGTATGGACGCCGTGCTACACTACATACGTCAGGCAACACGAATAAATTCCTACAAATTGCAGATTACTCAAAATCACGTACCATGCCTACCGAATCAGCAGAACGACGAAGACCTGTTTGGTTGACATTATCCTCGTGTGTCTTCGATCGCTCGTAAAAACACATTGCTTACACACTTGTTATAAAAAGTATTAGGATGGTAATTCGTTGGCACCGATGGTTAGATCATTATAAAGACGTTTGCGTGCGCACATTTCGATCTGCACTAGCGAGTTACTACAAAAAAAATCAATTTCCATTACGATTAAGAAAATGGCAGGCTTTGTTATTAGCTTGCACATAATTCCTGTAAAATTGCCATGAAATATCATCTACATTTATGGCTGCACATAGTTCCATGTATTTTGCGTGCGTGTGTCTCGCCCTACATGGATGGCTGCACCTGAAGTAGGTAGCTTACACGCCATACACATCTAAAAGGCATCGTATTAGCAAGGTACTGCACGTGTGAATTACTACGAATCATAGAGATACTATGTAAAGCAGGGATCTTTTTTTATCGTTATTGTCTCTTTTCTCTATCAGTGTTATTATTATTTGTTTATTGTTAGTTTATTTATTATATTACGATTTTTTATAATAATTACGTGTAAAAATATTATTAATGTATTATTATTATGATTATTATGATTATTATGATTATTGTTATTATTATTATTATTATCATTATCATTATCATCATCATCATTGTAAGTGGTCATAGTTTTATTAACTCTGCTATATAATAACTGCACATCCTGACATTCCGGCGCGTCGTGCCGGATGTCACACCGGATGTTAGGAACCTCTACATGCGCCAGATTTCAATTGTTGGTATCAGCTGTGATCGACGCGTTAATCGGCAGTGTCGCTGAGATGATATTAATTGGGCGGCGGCGATAATCCGCGAGCGAGAGAGGTCGTTAGCAGTCAGACGCATGGCTTCCGCCAGTGTTCATCACACATCTGCGGGCGAAGTGTAACGGGCGCTGACGGACCTAGTAGCGCTCTGATGGAACGTGTTAATTATGCTCGTGTTTTTGCAACACAATAACGACGCTATATAACGACGTGCGCGTGCGCGCGTGCGTGTACGCGCTTGCGTGTGCGCGTACATGCGTGTGCGTGCGTTTGAGTTAGTACGTGCGTGCGTGCGTGCGTGCGTGTGTGTGTGTGTGTGTGTGTGTGTGTGTGTGTGTGTGTGTGTGTGTGTGTGTGTGTGTGTGTGTGCGCGCGCGCGCGTGTGTGTGTGTGTGTGTGTGCGCGCGCGTGTGTGTGTGTGTGTGTGTGTGTGTGTGTGTGTGTGAGTGTGTGTGTGTGCGCGCGTGCGCATGTGTGTGTGTGCGTGTGCGCGTGTGCGTGCGTGTGCGTGTGTGTGTGTGAGTGTGCATATATGCCGGCTACGATGTCTGTGTTTGCTTGCGATGTAACCGTAACATAAATATTCACAGTTCAATCAACTCATGGCCGCCAGCTATCGCATTGCCTCCTAGCGGCCGTCATCAATGCATTTACAACCTGATTAAAATTTAAACGTCTTGAGTTAGCATGTATAAACGGGGTTTATGCATCGCGCTTGAAATTCTATGCCAAACAATAACATTTCTAGGGAGTTTTCAGTGTCTTCTTCAAGCGCGTATCCGCCCCTAAAATCACACTACCCCGCTACAGCGAAAATTGTATAATTATATTGTTTAGATTTTGGTTGACATATTAGTTTTTTTAAATGTTTTTGATAAAGACTGAGACGATTCATTGATTATATAACCCTCGTATATTCTCTAAGGTTACCTTCAGTGTGTCGAGTAACAGAGTCTGAAACAACGTTATGTTTTGTTCAGTATAATTCTTGTATAACCGGAGCGAAAAACTGCACTGCCCCCTCTGGGTGGTGAGTGTTCAACTAGCTTATTAGTTGATGTCGCTGAGCTATAGAGCTAGCGATGAACACAGGAATGGCTTCAACTCATATAGACGATCGTTGCGCCACCGGCGAAAGGGACTTAGCAACCAGCGTAATTTCTTCTGATTACTATATTACGGCCGATGACGTCACTAGCTATAATGTGACGTCACTGGCTAAAATATGACGTCACTAGCGACGACGAGTACAATGGTAGGCGGTAATTCATTGTATATCTTGCCGACTATAATTATTATGTAATGTTGCCAACATCCCTACTTTCGGGGTATGGGAATGAGGGGTAGGCGGGGGGGGGGGTCTCGCCCGGATATCGACGTGGCTCTCGCTGCGTGACGCGGCGCGGGTGTGCGACTTATTGGATTTGATTCTCGTCGCTACGAGAGAATATACGGCTTTCTGTTTAGTGATCGAGAGCACGAGGCGCAGCGCTATCGCGTGACGGCGCGAACGCTGCTGTTAAATTCCAGCCATCTTATTGTATATGCCTCGACGACGCGGGCTAGGTTCGTAATGATGCAGCGGACGCAAAATCTACGGCAATATCCCTGATCCCGTCATCAGGTTACAAAACGTCAAGTATTAGAATAATTTAATTGTAGTTAGTTTTTAGCATTTTTCAAATGCCTTTCTCTCTCACGTACGTAAAATCTGAAGCCCTAAGCGCGTCAGCTATGTGAGTGGGAGGGTTGTAGGAGAAAGGTGCGTATACACAGAGCTTTCTATATACCTGTATATATAAATAACTCTGCCTCGAAGCTGTGTCGCACGCGCTGCGCGGTCTCGAACAGACCCCCCTCCCCCAATCACTTAGTATTTTGCTCGTCTGCTGCACCCGTCACGCACAACTTATCTTGTGCGGTAGTAACGCAAGAAAATGCACCGTTTCAGGTCGAATTTGAAACAAATTGACCGAGAGTACAACCATCTGTACATCGTTACTTCGTTACCCTGCTCCGCCGGTAACTCGCGGCTACTTCCCGGCCTCGCGCTGCACGATTAATTCACCGCATCGTCGGAGATTTGCGTTTAAACCGCAGTAAATGTCACGCGTCAGCTTGGCATGCGAGGGTTTGATTGCAGGTTCAGTCCGCGTGCAGGAGTGAAGCGAGCGCGTCAAACCGCAACGCTCGTGCTACCATCGCTCACTATTTAAATTCCTACTAAAATTGAAGCCCTCATAACAAATGCAGTCAGCGATTTTCTCAGCTTTATAGAGTAAACTCGAACGGTTGTCGAAACTGCTGTTAACAGGTTATATATGTGGAATTTTTAATGAAATGAATTTATTCTTAGATTATGCGATTACCTCAGCATCGCATGTTTAATCACATTATTCTATGTTAACTCAGACATTCCCCTAGCTGGATACTGCTTTTAACTGTACTATAGTTACGAGAAGCAATTATTGTCTTTATTTTCAAAATCAAATATGTGATTGCTTGCATTCCATCTGAGCATGTTATTACCCGTGCTACTTCTGTTGGTGATAAAATTAATTGCACGATCAGATTACTTTCAAAGGGAAGGTTTTTAATTTGTACTATCATATGACATATTTCAGTAACGTTTTCCATTTAATTCCTGAAGGTATGTCATCTACGAAAACGGCGGATCTTACACGTACGCATACATGTTATAAAACTGCAAACACAAGAAACTGAAATATTTTATATTTATGACATACACATGATATCACGCGGCATGACGTCATGCTAAGAAGAGCGCAAAATCAACATCGTAAATTGACATAAAAATTCGACGTCGCAAGCTGATCGATTTTAATGTCGCAACTTTTAATTCGTTGTTATTTGTAGAGTAGACGTTTAAATATGTGATCTACGATCGCAACGATGCAGTACGTATAAAGCTTCCTATTTCACTCGAATATCGATATATCTATGTATCAAGAGTACATAATAGAGATTATGTACTATATTATGTTATATCATATATATATATATATATATATATATATATATATATATTGGTATTCTTCAATAGTCAATATGCATTTGGCATAGTTTTTCAAGTGTAGATATGCATACATGCTGGTTGCAAGATTTCAGCAGACGCGATATCGACGGGTTCAGAATTGTTGGCAGACAAACAAGTCGGCGCTGATGTGTGTTTACCCTCGCTGCAAGCGAAGCTCAATGTTGCGAGCGAAGTTGATAATATCTTTGCTTTGTAATGTTCCGCGAGGCATGAATACTCGGTAGCATACACGCACACGCGTACGCATGCACAGATGCACGCACACACGCACGCAGCGGCGCCGCACGCTAGCACGCTCATTCATCCATGCTTCCGTTTTCCCTTCTATTCGATATATTGTGCCGAATTCAGCCGAAGCCAGTGTTGTAGATTTTCGACTCGTTCAGTTGCATGATTTATGAATCGTGGACGCACACAGCGGAGTATAGATATTTCACCGCGGCGCACTACATCACACGCAGTTGGCCGAGACATAATATATTCATACCAGAACGCCCAAAGAGACGACACGCTAACGTCTAAAACAATCCTCGCCAAAAAAATAAACACGTGTAACCTACCTCGATGTTAAGCCTGACGGAGGTCGTGCGCGTGCTTCCAATGCGTAGCCCGAGTAGATGTGACGACGACTACACACGAAGTCAGCTTCGCAGGCGTAGGCGCGCAGGTCGCACGCTGCGCAGACAGCTGCCGTGTGTGTGTGTGTGCGAGCGCGCCCGTACGTGCAATCAAGACGGATATTAACTGATGCGGCTTCAATTCTCGCTAGTCATTAATTTACGAGACTAACGGTTCGCGAGCGAAGATCGGGTATCGTCGACGACTGTGCTGACCTCTATCGGCCGGATCGGTACGACAATCTTCCCGAATACGGAACGTCTGACTAGCGAACTGATCTGTAATTTATAATGTACGTACAATACGCAGAGAACTCGTGCGCAGCAAACTTTCGCTATGCGGTCGAACTGTGCGCTACGCGTGGACAATATACCGTGATTGTCTGAAGGCAGCGATGATGTTGCCGAGATGCAGTGCAGCGGGTGAGTGAGCGCTCACGCACTAGGCGCTCGGCTGATGAAGCGGCGGTTGCTACGGAGCATGCACGCTGAGCATCTTAGTTACGTCAATAATGCGCGATCGCACGAACGCTGCGGACGTCATCGCTTTAGGTGTTGAACAACAGTAGAGGACGTCCATAGGCGGCAGGCCTGAATAAGCATCGAACAGAAATTAATTTAAAATACTCACACTGTTACTGCACTTACAAAAAATACACTTTATTCATGTTAAATAACTACAGATTCATGCTCTATGCTCCGCTCGAAACTTTTGCCAGCTCTATGACGCGAATTTCTGCAAAGTTGTCTGAACACATTTCATACACAAAAATCACCAGCCGGTCGCTGCGGCTACGCCACCTGACGGAATGTCACAAGTACACAACAAGACCAATTTTACTTCATATTTTACTTCGTGCATAATGCAAATTATTGCAATATAGTGCTGAATTTCAGCGAAAAAAAATGAAAAAAAAGTCTTTTCTAGAGACGAATTAGTGCAACGGTGAACAATTGCGGAGGCTTACTGTTGTACGCCACCTTTACACACCTGCCGTCTATAGAGGGTTGGTGGAGGATGACACTGTGCTCCTTACATCGCTTAACTTTCTCAACTCTCTCTCTCTCTCTCTTTTTTTTCTCTCTCTCTCTATCTATCTATCTATCTATCTATCTATCTATCTATCTATCTATCTATCTATCTATCTATCTATCTATCTATCCATCGCTTGCTTGTATGTATATCTATGGGATTACACATACTTCTAATGCGCGACATTAGCGCCGACCAACGGCAAAAAAAGATTAAAAAATTTCACATGGCGTTGCACAGAATCGGGATGCTCAGAGGATTGGGCTCCGTTTTGTTGTCTAAGGCGGCAATGGGATACAGACATTTCATAGAAAATTACTGATGGTTTTATAAATGATGGCAAATTTTAGGGGTAATCTTAAAAAACACAGGGAGCGGCCTTATGTTGAGCTTTTACATGGTATATAGTAGTGGGCCAGGTACTCTATATAGGCAAACTCTACTTGGCATTTCTCTACTTGGGTTATTACGTACAAAATCCTTGAAACTATTAATGTATCGTCGCGAAATACGATACTTCTGTGTCGTAATTATAAATCTAATTAACTTAGGGGGCTAACACTCGTACTAGTTTGATACAAATCTGTCGATCACAATTCCTTACGTTGATAATTATGTCTCTAGTCTGCCCGACTACTCTATATCGTTATGTAGCTTATATTGTCAGACCTGCTTAGGCGCTTGCCGAGTATCTACAAAAAGATTACGAATTTTCCTAAAATTATACATATATAATAATACAAGTAGAGACAAAGAAGTTAATAGGAAAAAGTTACAGATGCGTTCCACGCGTCTTTTTAGAAAAACAAGCAGTCGTATTGTCTAGCATCTGTTGCTAACAAGTGCAATTAAAACAGAGAAAAACCCCATGACGATTATTTCTTGTTATGAAAGCCATGCACGCTCAAAGAATCGTGGTGCGCTTTTTATGTGCCTAACATAGTAACCTTCTTGTTCACCTAATCTGGCGACCCCAATCCGAGATGTGACAATAAATTTGTACGTTTTACGGAAACTAGTAGCTACATCTGTTACTGCATAATCTTTTCTTGACCATTTTTCGTGTGTTATGATAGCGAAACCACGCATTCATAAAGGAATAATATCGCTCGCTAATAGAAAAACCGGTAAAACCAACTCAATAGGTAGCGAATCCTTAGGGCTTTGTATAATGTATTTTAGGGCGCGCTAAATCTGCCATCTATGGGATTGATTTCGATACAAATCCGAATGTTATAGCACAATGTGATGTTTTTGAAAACAAATCTCTATGAAAACAGAGAAGAAATCCGCAGTCTGCTATTCACCATTTCTGAAAGCAGAGATGTCGCTGACGACTTATGGAAGTTTCCCCACATGCAATTTGTAAATTATGACCAATAAACTCGCAAATCCAGTGGCGTAGCCAGGATTTTTGAACAGGAGGCGGGCCAAAAACAGCGAACTGCGCAAAATAGTGGATGACTTCATATTTTAATGGTTCCTCCGCCTCCCTCTCCACACCCTATGCTCCCCCACATCTCAGCTCTGCAATTGTTTTGGGCGCCATGCAAAAAAGCGACATTTTTGTTCGTTGTCCCAAGATATGTAACTGTTCAGTGGCGGATCCAGGATTCCAAGGAGGTGGGTGAAAAACAGGCGGCGGTCCTCCCCCCAAAAAAATTGAAAATGTAGATCGCAGGAGATGGCATTTCAGGCACTTTTGAGTACAGCCTTCATTCTGACTACGACAATTCTCTTTTTAGTAGAGCAATTCTTATTTTTAAATTTTTTTTAACTTTTGGATCAACAGGGGGGCCATGGCCCCCCCTCCCCCCTAACTACGCCACTGCACAAAGAGGTACATAATTTTTCCTTTGCGGACGAGTTTGTACCGTTTTTAATGAATGAGTGTGTATTTTATCAAATGTGTCGCGTTCAATTACCAATGACGAATGTAATACGCATTATACCATGCAGCTGTTACCATGTCGAGCGGGTTGGCTTTGATTTGTGCCAGCATTTCACGTGCCTGTGCGTGTTTCTGAAATCAGCGCAGGCTCCCACGGCAAGGGTATTCCATATATCTTCTCTCGTCTATGGTCTATAGTGATCCATGCTATACACGAATTCGGGATGAGTGGCAATGATATCCACGGCTTGTCTGCCGGTAATATTGCCCCTCACTCTCTATACCAGATCATTGCACCGTATCACTGGCTCTAATGCTATGCTGCACTTCACTTCGTTTCTGGTGAGTTAATTGAAGGCATTTTGCGGTCCGTTATCATGCTACTGTGTTACCTACTTTAATACGTAATATATGTATTAGGACATGGTTAACTTACTTGCATTCATAATTGTCATTGTTTTACTGCCTTAGGTTAAGAAAGTTTCTATAGAAACCGAGAAACGTACTTCCAATTATGTAATGGAAGCAAATAGGAAAACGTGATTCGCGTTGCGAAATTCCGCGTTATGAACGTTTTTTTGAATCATGTAACTTCCGTAATACGGGGTATTACGTCGTTCAACGTTTTATTTAAAACCCATTTAAAACATTTTCTCATTTAAAACACGGATTATGACATTTATTCTGACACGTATTCACACATTTATTCTGACACGTATTCACACATCTGATCTTGAATGCACAAATTCTTTTTTCGTCATACACGATATACTTTTAAGTCCATTAACACAAAAGCACACATATTCGTTTGAATTGGTTGGATATATATACCTAGTATTATTTTACTCTCAGAAACAATGCTAACTTTACTATAAGTGTACAAACACGGGCGGTGTAAACATGTTTAGTCTCCGAACTAATCAAACACATAACACGTCAATATTTAAATAGGATTCCCCCGCATTGTGAGAGAATCTTTATAACGAGAAAATATTAGAAAGCCGACACGCACGATATAGAAAATTATCTAGCATGAAACTATCCGTGAATTTCAACGTTACAATAATCAGTCAATTAATAGAAATCGATTAATGACAAATAGTTTGTTATTATTCACCTCTGGCTTCACTGGCCACGCTATGCAGCAATGAATACAGTTGGTATGCGCTTTACTTATTTCTGGTCACGCCTACCAACATTGAGGCTACTACTATGCGCTGGACAGAGATAATCGCCAAAGTATTTGGTCCTATGATTTGGTCACAGACTAACGAACACACACACACACACACGCACACACACACACACACACACACACACACACACACACACACACTCGCACGCACGCGCGGGGCGGATAATTCACTATATCTGGGATCGCATAAACCCTGTGTCTGCCAAAAACTAAACTATTTTGTTGAATTATTACTTTTATAGTAGAGAGCAGATACCAGACTAGCCGAAGTAAAGTCCGGACGGGTAAACGGACTACTCGTAGAGGCATCGACCCGGTTCTGCATCTAGCTACCTTTCGTCTGCTTTAACGTGACATCACGATATAGAAACACAAGCAAACATAATTATATTCACATGAACGCTAATGTCTTACAGAAACATAAGACAGCGTCGCCAGCGTCAAATTCTAGCATCAGCGCGAGGGCAACACTGCCCAGAACGCCGAGTGAAACTGGCTACTCCTCCCTGCATATATGAGGAAGCTCATGAAGGAATTGCAGTATGCAAGCAAGTAGTCGACGCCGAGCAGCATATCGAGCAAGTCGTGCCGGATGCCAGCGAGGTTCAAAGCCATTATTAATAAGAACGGCGTCCAGCAGACGATGAAGGCGCCGACGACAATGCCGAACGTCTTCGCCAGCTTCAGATGATTGACGAGAGCGGTATAGAAGGCGTGACTCTCTGCAGCTTCCTCATGCGGGCCGCCGGCTCCACTCAGCGGCTGGATGCGCCTCATATGTTGTCTAGCGATCAGCATCATGTACGAGTAGATGGTGACAATGACGATAGTGCACAGACCAACGAAGACAAGCATCAGCAGGGCTGTTTTCCTGCTGATGACGAGGTCATACAGGCACAGCTCGTCGGGTTTCCAGCGGTTGTGGACAGCAATCATGCTGCTAGGAATGGCGGCAATAACCCAAGTTAGGCTTATCATGACGATAATGACGCGCGGTGTCATGATCTGGTAGTAGTGCAGAGGGCGTGAGATGGCAATGTACCTGTCTACGTTTATTGCAATGATGGTGTTCGTAGATCCGATAGCGAAAAGCGTAGCCACAGTAAAGTGTCCAAGGCATATGATCTTTGGTGGGTGATGCAGAAAAAAACTGTTACCGGCGCGAAGAAGCCTTCTTGCACTCCCATAAAGAAGCCAACGACGGCCAAGTTCGCGATTAGTTTGTGTGCGGGCTCTTGCAGATATGATGTCCGTGTCACGGCTAATATGACGAGAATATTGGCGACAATGTTGAGAATGTTGACGGGAATTAACACATAGCCACACCATTTCTGAATCGGCTGTATAGAATGTTGAATGTCGCCCGTCTCCCCACATTCAGTTACCATTTCATTCACAAACAGCGACTGCGAGAAGTTGCACGCCAGAACACTAGATAATGAAGTCATCCTACACAGCCGACTACAACATGCAACAGGAGCTCTGCGACTTTAGTTATTTTCATGACATATCACGTTTGCATGTCTTTAATACCTACCTACCTCCTTATCATTTGCAATTTGTCTAATGCTGCGCGCGCAATGAATACTACTAACCTTATTCCATAGTTCCCCCACCCACGTTGGGAAACTACACACGACACACACATGCGCACACAGACACACGCGCGCACACACAAACACACACACACACACACACACAAACACACACACACACACACACACACACACACACACACACGCTCACATACACGCGCATAAAGACACACACACGTGAACTAAAACACACGCACAGACCCGCGCGCATGCCCACACATACGCGCACGCACACGGCGCCCGCATATGCATGGCATGCTGAGACTGGAAATTTACACGGCACCCCGCACGAGGGGGAGGCGCGCACACACCACAGGCAGCACACCCACACCCACAGCACAACACACACCACACACACCACAATGGGCGCGAGAGATGCGCATGGGCACACGGGGGAACACTCCCCCAAGGGCCCCAAAGCCGCCGCCCCCGGTTGTCATGTGCTTCTGTATACTTATAAGCCGCCATCTATAAATTATTATTTATGTGCTGTCTCCACTAAAATTGGAAATAAAAATGTAAAAGTATAAAAAATGACTCCCCGATTGATAGCCTAACAAATACGAGAAACCGCGACCGTATATCGCTGCTATGGTCCCTATATAGGTAGGGAATTAAAGGATTTTGCAGTCTCGAGTTTCCGGGGGAATCTGTCACTCTATATCTGATCCTACAACATGTACATGATTAAAACGTGAGAACTTGTAATATGTATGTAAAGGCTGTAACGCGCGGCGTCGCTAGCTCTCAGTAGCTATTGATATCTGTGTAGATATGTGCATTCGTAATATATATATACCTATATATAATATATATATATATATAATATATTATATATATATATATATATATACATATCGTATATATTACGTACTATTATTTAGGTCGTACTGCACGCATGAAACGGTGCTCGTGCATGCGCAATATCTCCCGAAAAGAATAATATTTTGCAAACCTTATGATTTTAAAATAAAGAGGGGTTATCCTAGCATAGCTTTATATAATAACATTCCATCAGTAGACATCACTTAAGAAATAGGAGGAAGACCTTGCATGTAACGTCCCCGCTGCATATACCAGCCAGTACACAATCTGGCTAGTTAGCGCATGCGCAATATCTCACCAGAGGAGTTATATTTTGTGATGAATATGCATTTATTATAGTTAGGTGGTATCCCAGCATAGATTTCTCTAACAGATTTTTATTAGTAAACCTGTGTTTAAAATTAGGAGAGCGCCCTAGCCTGTAGGGTACAAAACGCTTACTTTATGCCCGCTCGTCCTTCCACTTGCCTCCTCTGTCCCTCGTTCAGCCTCCCACTTCTTCTACCGCCTCCAGCTATCTTCCCTGCTGCCTTTCCTCAGTCTCCCACGCCCTTTTTCCCTCATCAAGCTATATTTTGAAGTTTTCTTCAGACGGTACTATATGCCTTAAACGGTGTGCGCGCATGCGCAATATCTCCCGAGAAGAAGAATAATTTGCAAAGATTATGCATTTAAAATGAAGAGGAGTTATCCTAGCATAGCTTTATATAATAACATTCCATTAGTAGACATCACTTAAAAAATAGGAGAAAACCTTGCATGTATGGTCCCGGCTGCATATACCCAGCCAGTACATAATCTGGCTAGGTTAGTGTGTTATAGCGCATGCGCAATATCTCACCAGAGGAGTTATATTTTGTGATGAATATGCATTTATTATGGTTAGGGGGTATCCCAGCATAGATTTCTCTAATAGATTTTTATCAGTAGACCTGTGTTTAAAATTAGGAGAGCGCCCTAGCCTGTAGGGTACAAAACGCCTACTTTATGCCCGCTCGTCTCTCCACTTGCCTCCTCTGTCTTTCGTTCAGCCTCCCACTTCTTCTACCACCCCCAGCTATCTTAATTCCCTGCTGCCTTTCCTCAGTCTCCCACCCCTTTCACCCTCTGCAAGCTGTATTATGAAGTTTTCTTCAGACGGTACTACATGCCTTAAACGGTGCGCGCGCATGCGCAATATCTCCCGAAAAGAAGACTATTTTGCAAAGATTACGCATTTAAAATAAATAAGAGTTATGCTAGCTCATAGCTTTATATGATAACATTTCATCAGTAGACATTACTTAAGAAATTGGAGGAAGACCTTGCGTGTAAGGTTCTCGCTGCATATACCAGCCAGTACAAAATCTGGCTAGGTTAGTGTGTTAGCGCATGCGCAATATCTCATCAGAGGCGTATCCGGACAACTACCCACTGGACAATTACCCACTGGACAATTACCCACCAGGACAATTACCCACCCGGACGATTACCCACCAGGACGATTACCCACCAGGACGATTACTGTAACGACGAAGATGAC